ACAACCCGGGGGGAGGAGGGGGGGGGGGGGGGGGGGGATGAATGCCACCCTCCCCCACCCACCTCATAAAGCTTTTCTAAGTTTTTTCCTAGAGGATAAAACATTATTACCTGACTTTTTTAGTAGCTGTTCATTCATCCCTTGAGCACATTTTGAGACAAGTTTAGTGATGATCAATTGCTATGGTTGCAAGTTATGACATCATAAGTAGCTGGTGGTCAAGCCAGTTTTGGTTGAAAATACATGTTTTTTCAATTTCTTTCAACAACAAAAGTAAATGTTGTGGCCAAAATCATGCAAAGTGCTTATTTATGTGTTATTTTTCACGTAAAGCAGCAAAAATTACCATTTCTCGCAGTTTTAACCTGATTTCTGATTCTTGGTAAAATCCACGATGGCAACCATCATTGGTGATGTCACAGGCCTCCAGCAGCACTAGCACCCCTAAAATATACCTCATCTTGTTAAGAAGCCAAAGTCTTTCCAGTAAAGGTAAAATCGTTTCAAAATACTGCAACATATCAAAACTCCAGGGAGGGGTTCCATCCACCCCCCGCCCGTACCACAGTGAGGGTATGAATTTGCATGTATGTCCGGGGGTTAATAAGTAATGGAAAAAAAAAGGCTTTTTAATATCATTAATGTAATTCTTACCAGGCTAATATCTTGCCCTATCCCTTGTTTTTCAGAACTCTGTTTATTATCTTCATGTTTGGCTTTGGTGCTCTTATCACAAACCTGCTTACCGACATCGGCAAAGTAACTGTAGGGGGGTTGCGACCCTATTTCCTTACAGTGTGTAAACCCAATACTACCTTGCCACACTGTAGTCAAGGTTTTGTTACTGAAAATATCTGCACTGGAGATCCCAAAGACATTCTAGAGGCCAGGTTTGTATCTATCTCCATTGCAGACTCTGTGCATTATATACCTGCCAACTCTCACACCTGCGGGTTGAAAACTTCGATCTCACACCGGCTCACACCTGCGGGCCAATTTCTCACGCCTGATTGAAAAATGTGAGTTGTTGCCGTCTTGCTTGACACAATTTTCAAAAATATGTTAACTCAGACCCATGTAAGGAACGAAAACCATGTGTAAAATGAATAAATGACAATACCTTCCTCGCGATCTCTGATTTTGTGGATAAGCGTTTTCTCGATAACTTCGCCTTCGGCAGACTTCGGACGTCTTCGGAAGACTTCGGACTTCTTCGGGAACCTTCGGAAATGATCGTGTCGTCTGCAAAAATCCCAGCACTCCCAGGATAAAAATCTCACGTTTATAACTCAGAAAAAGTTGGCAGGTATAGCATTACATCTTGTAATCAAGATGGCCATATACTGATCACTCACCTGCTGGAGTTCGCAGACCCGTAAAAGTGAACATCACTCAATCTTCTCACTTCCTCCCTCAATTACACAGGAAAAAATAACCGATTCCCATTTTTGGATATTTTAAGGTATTTAAAGAATACCCACAAAAATCCCAAATTTGGAAGAGTGAGACAAGTCCCAATCAGGGAACTTGGTTGGGAATTCCCTGGTTGGGACTTGTCTCACTTTGCCAAATTTAGGATTTTTATGGGTATTCTTTAAATACCCTAAAATATCCAACAATGGGAATCCGTTATTTTTTCCTGTGTTACCTTTAAAGCATTTTTAGAATGTTATGCATGTACATGTTCATGTACACATTCTCGAAGAACAAACTGCAATATGGAAACCCCTTGTATATCTACCAGCTCTTCCAGCCAATTTATCCAAAAGTCCTGTGGATAAATAGAGAATCTTCCAGTGTCACCATATTAGTGGTTTCAGAGCCCTTCTTTATATCAGCCAGAATAAATTTGTAAATTTTCTGTACGTTCTATACAAAAAGCAGAGGGGGGATAAAGGGGTTAACAGACAGGGAAAGGAGAGAGGGTCATGAATGCAAAATAGAAAGTCTCCAGACAATGGCATCTCTTGCTATTTCCAATCTGGCTCCTGCCCCTTTGAACAATTAGCATTTTTGAAGTTCTTCATTTTTAACTTTATTTTAGGGAATCATTTCCATCAGCCCATTCATCCTTCTCAGCTTATACCATGGTTTTTCTAGCAGTAAGTTGCATTAGAACTTAAAATTAATCATTATAATCATCAACAATATCATTAATCTTAATAGTTGGCATAATTTCGATCAACTAATCTTGTCATTAATTTAACATTTTTAGCAATTTTGGCTGGTGGATGTTTAAGCTGCTACCATATCAAACCGCTTATAAGCCGAAGACACAGATTCAGGAGGGCTCATATCTAAGAGGGCTTTTATAACCAGAATATAAAAAGTGCTTTGAACCATACTATAGCCGTGCTGATCAAAATACCTTGTGCATTAACTGGTTTCTAATTAAGCTTTGAAACATCATAGTAAATCAGATTCATGTCAATATAACCTAGAGGCAGGGGGCTTATATTCGGATTTATTTTATATAGGCCTATAACTGGCAGGGGGGGGGGTGGGGCAGCGGACTCGTGGGTAGCGGTTTACTGCACACTGCATTTCACCCTACTGCTGTCATGGTAACTTATCCCTAATTCCCCATGTAACAAAATCCTGTTCAGAAATGCTGTTCTAGAGGAAAGTCCTTTACAAACATGACAAATATGCTTTCATTGATTGACAGAAACATTTTTTTTAAATTTTATTTTCCAAACAGCTCTATCTGGAAGCATCAATGCCAACAAAACGAACCAACTTAGTTAAACCGTTTGCTCAAGTGAGTTTCATCATCCTGGGTTTACTGTGTGCTTTGTCACGGATATTTGATTATTGGCATCACTGGGGAGATGTGTTGGTTGGCCTGTTCCTGGGTACTATTGTGGCTTTCTTTATTGTAAGTGTAGGATCTTATTAGTAGTCATAGGTAATGTGTCCTGAGGAAACAGCCAATATTTTGCAACACCACTCAGTGCTGGTTTTGCTGCAAAATCACATCTGAGGACCAAGCACAAAAAATTCCATACTGATAACACATCACCTATACCCATATCTGGATCGTGCTTCGGACTGGTTGAAGCGAATTTCCAACAAGATCTACCCAGTTCTCAATAGTGATGCATCATCGATCAGTATGAAATTTCTGAACCAGTTCCTTAGACATTTCACAGTTGGGGTTATTCACGGGTTGTTTTCTCAGGCAATAACTAACATGCCATCTTACACCCCTGCTGCATGTTCTCCCTGTTGTGACGTCACTGTTGTTGCTATTGTCAGTGTTGTCGCTGCCCTAACTGCTGTCGCTGTTGTTATTATTGTCACTGTTGTCACCGTTGAATCTGTTGTAACCATTGTCACCGTTGTCACTGTTGTCACAGTTGTCACTGTTGTCACCGTTGTCACTGTTGTCACCATTGTCACCCGTCTCACTGTTGTCACCGTTGTCACTGTTGTCACTGTTGTCACCATTGTCACTGTTGTCACCCTTGTCACTGTTGTCACCGTTGTCACTCTTGTCACCGTTGTCCCCCTTGTCACTGTTGTTACTGTTGTCACCGTTGTCACCGTTGTCACCCTTGACACTGTTGTCACCGTTGTCACTGTTGTCACCCTTGTCACTGTTGTCACAGTTGTCACTGTTGTCACCGTTGTCACTGGTGTCATCATTGTAACCCTTGTCACTGTTCTCACCGTTGTCACAGATGTCACTGTTGTCACCCTTGTCACTGTTGCCACTGTTGTCACCATTGTCACTGTTGTCACCCTTGTCACTGTTGTCACCGTTGTCACCCTTGTCACTGTTGTCACCGTTGTCACCGTTGTCACTGTTGTCACCGTTGTCACTGTTGTCACTGTCTTCACCGTTGTCACTGTTGTCATTGTTGTCACAGTTGTCATTGTACTCACCATTGTCATTGTCATCACCGTTGTCACTGTGTCACTGTTGTCATATTTGTGACAGTTGTCACTGTTGTAAATGTTGTCACTGTCGTCACCGTTGTCACGATTGTCACTGTTGTCACCCTTGTCACTGTTGTCATGGTTGTCACTGTTCTCACCGTTGTCACTCCTGTCACTGTTGTCACCATTGTCACCGTTCACTGTTGTCACTTCTCTCAATGTTGTCACAATTGTCACTGTTGTCATTGTTGTCACAGTTTACCCTGTTGTCACCATTCTCACTGTTATCACCGTTGTCACTCCTGTCACTGTTGTCACCATTCTCACCGTTGTCACTGTTGCCCTCATTGTCACTTGTGTCATTGTTGTCACTGTTGTCAATATTGTCATTGTTGTCACCGTTGTCACCGTTGTCACTGTTGCCACTGTTGTCACTGTTGTCATCGCTGTCACCGTATTCACTGTTGTCACTGTTGTCACCATTTCCACTGTTTTCACCGTTGTCACTGTTGTCACCATTGTCACAATTGTCACTGTTGTCACTGCTGTCACTGCTCTCCCTGTTATCACCGTTGTCACTGTTGTCAATGTTGTCACCATTGTCACTGTTGTCATTGTTGTCACAGTTGTCACTGTTGTCACCGTTGTCACCATTGTCACTGTTATCATTGTTGTCACAGTTGTCACTGTTGTCACCGTTGTCACTGTTGTCACCGATGTCACTGTTATCCTTTTTGTCACGGTTGTCACAGTTGTCACCTTTGTCACCGTTGTCACTGTTGTCACCGTTTTTACTGTTGTCACCGTTGTCACTGCTGTCACTTTTGTCACCGTTGTCACTGTTGTCACCGGTGTCATTGTTCTCACTGTTGTCACAGATGTCACCGCTGTCACAGTTGTCACTGTTTTCACCGTTGTCACTGTTATCACCGTTGTCACCGTTGTCTCTGTTGTCATTCTTGTCACAGTTGTCACTGTTGTCACCGTTGTCACTGTTGTCACTATTATCACCGTTGTCACTGTTGTCACTGTTGTCACTGTTCTCATTGTTTTCACAGTTGTCACTGTTGTCACCGTTGTCACCATTGTCACCCTTGTCACTGTCGTCACCATTGTCACCGTTGTCACTGTTGCCACCGTTGTCACTTGTGTCATTGTTGTCACCGTTGTCACCAATGTCACCGTTCTCACTCTTGCCACCGTTGTCACCGGTGTCATTGTTGTCACTGTTGTCACAGTTGTCACCGTTGTCAGAGTTGTCACTGTTTTCACCATTGTCACTGTTATCACCGTTGTCACCGTTGTCTCTGTTGTCATTCTTGTCACAGTTGTCACTGTTGTCACCGTTGTCACTGTTGTCATTCTTGTCACTCTTGTCACCGTTGTCACTGTTGTCAATGTTGTCACTGTTGTCACTGTTGTAATTGTTGTCACAGTTGTCACTGTTTTCACCGTTGTCACTATTGTCACTGTTATCATTGTTGTCACAGTTGTCACTTTTGTCACCGTTGTCACTGTTGTCACCGTTCTCACTGTTATCATTTTTGTCAGCGTTGTCACGTTTGTCACCGTTCTCACTGTTGTCACCGTTTTTACTGTTGTCACCGTTGTCACTGCTGTCACTTTTGTCACCGTTTTCACTGTTGTCACCTGTGTCATTGTTTTCACTGTTGTCACAGTTGTCACCGCTGTCACAGTTGTCACTGTTTTCACCGTTGTCACTGTTATCACCGTTGTCACCGTTGTCTCTGTTGTCATTCTTGTCACCGTTGTCACTGTTGTCACTATTATCACGGTTGTAACCGTTGTCACTGTTGTCAGTGTTTTCATTGTTTTCACTGTTGTCACTGTTGTCACCGTTGTCACCGTTCTCACCCTTGTCACTGTCGTCACCATTGTCACCGTTGTAACTGTTGCCACCGTTGTCACTTCTGTCATTGTTTTCACCGTTGTCACCAATGTCACCAATGTCACTCTTGCCACCGTTGTCACCGTTGTCACCAGTGTCATTGTTGTCACTGTTGTCACAGTTTTCACCGTTGTCACAGTTGTCACTGTTTTCACCGTTGTCACTGTTATCACCGTTGTCACCGTTGTCTCTGTTCTCATTCTTGTCACAGTTGTCACTGTTGTCACCGTTGTCACTATTGTCATTATTGTCACTCTTGTCACCGTTGTCACTGTTGTCACTGTTGTCATTGTTGTCACAGTTGTCACAGTTGTCACTGTTGTCACCGTTGTCACCATTATCACTGTTATCATTGTCTTCACCGTTGTTACTGTTGTCACTGTTGTCACTGTTGTCACCGTCGTCACTGTTATCATTGTTGTCACTGTTGTCACAGTTGTCACCGTTGTCACTGTTGTCACCGTCTTTAGTGTTTTCACCGTTGTCACTACTGTCACTCTTCTCACCGTTGTCACTGTTGTCACCGGTGTCATTGTTGTCACTGTTCTCACAGTTGTCAACGTTATCACAGTTGTCACTGTTTTCACCGTTGTCACTGTTACCACCGTTGTCACCGTTGTCTCTGTTGTCATTCTTGTCACAGTTGTCACTGTTGTCACCGTTGTCACTGTTGTCACTATTATCACCGTTGTCACAGTTGTCACTGTTGTCACTGTTCTCATTGTTTTCACAGTTGTCACTGTTGTCACCGTTGTCACCATTGTCACCCTTGTCACTGTCGTCACCATTGTCACCGTTGTCACTGTTGCCACCGTTGTCACTTGTGTCGTTGTTGTCAGCGTTGTCACCAATGTCACCGTTGTCACTCTTGCCACCGTTGTCACCGGTCTTATTCTTGTCACTGTTGTTACAGTTGTCACCGTTGTCACCGTTGTCACTGTTTTCACCGTTTTCACTGTTATCACCGTTCTCACCGTTGTCTCTGTTGTCATTCTTGTTACAGTTGTCACTGTTGTAACCGTTGTCACTCTTGTCATTGTTGTCACTCTTGTCACCGTTGTCACTGTTGTCAATATTGTCACTGTTGTAATTGTTGTCACAGTTGTCACTGTTGTCACCGTTGTCACCATTGTCACTGTTATCATTTTTGTCACAATTGTCACTGTTGTCACCGTTGTCACTGTTCTCACCGTTCTCACTGTTATCATTTTTGTCACCGTTGTCACAGTTGTCACCTTTGTCACCGTTGTCACTGGTTTCACCGTTTTTACTGTTTTCACCGTTGTCACTGCTGTCACTTTTGTCACCGTTGTCACTGTTGTCACCGGTGTCATTGTTGTCACTGTTGTCACAGTTGTCACCGCTGTCACAGTTGTCACTGTTTTCACCGTTTTCACTGTTATCACCGTTGTCACCGTTGTCTCTGTTGTCATTCTTGTCACCGTTGTCACTGTTGTCACCGTTGTCACCGTTGTCACTGTTGTCACTATTATCACCGTTGTCACCGTTGTCACTGTTGTCAGTGTTTTCATTGTTTTCAAAGTTGTCACTGTTGTCACCGTTGTCACCCTTGTCACTGTTGTCTCCATTGTCACCGTTGTCACTGTTGCCACCGTTGTGACTTCTGTGATTGTTGTCACCGTTGTCACCAATGTCACCGTTGTCACTCTTGCCACCGTTGTCACCGGTGTCATTGTTGTCACTGTTGTCACAGTTTTCACCGTTGTCACAGACTGTTTTCACCGTTGTCACTCTTATCACCGTTGTCACCGTTGTCTCTGTTGTCATTCTTGTCACAGTTGTCACTGTTCTCAATGTTGTCACTGTTGTCATTGTTGTCACAGTTGTCACTGTTGTCACCGTTGTCACCATTGTCACTGTTATCATTGTTGTCACCGCTGTCACTGTTGTCACCGTTGTCACTGTTGTCACCGTCGTCGCTGTTATCATTGTTGTCACTGTTGTCACAGTTATCACCGTTGTCACTGTTGTCACCGTCTTTACTGTTGTCACCGTTGTCACTGCTGTCACTTTTCTCACCGTTGTCACTGTTGTCACCGGTGTCATTGTTGTCACTGTTGTCAAAGTTGTCACCGTTGTCACAGTTGTCACTGTTTTCACCGTTGTGACTGTTATCACCGTTGTCACCGTTGTCTCTGTTGTCATTCTTGTCACAGTTGTCACTGTTGTCCCTGATGTAACTGTTGTCATTGTTCTCACTCTTGTCATTATTGTCACAGTTGTCACTCTTGTAAATGTTGTCACTGTTGTCACCGTTGTCACCATTGTCACTGTTCTCACCCTTGTCAATGTTGTCACCGTTGTCACTGTGGTCACCGTTGTCAGCATTTTCACTGTTGTCACCGTTGTCACGACTGTCACCGTTGTCACCAATGTCACTGTTGTCACTCTTGCCACCGATGTCACCGTTGTCACTGTTGTCACTATTATCACCGTTGTCACCGTTCTCACTGTTGTCACTGTTCTCATTGTTTTCACAGTTGTCACTGTTGTCACCGTTGTCACCCTTGTCACTGTCGTCATTGTTGACACAGTTGTCACTGTTGTAAATGTTCTCATCATTGTCACTGTTGTCATTGTTGTCACAGTTTACTCTGTTGTCACCGTTGTCACTGCTGTCACCGTTTCCACTGTTTTTACTGTTGTCACTGTTGTCACCGTTGTCACTGTTGTCACTGCTCTCCCTGTTGTCACCGTTCTGACTTTTGTCATGGATCTCACAGTTGTCACGTTTGTCAGTGTTGTGACCATTGTCACTGTTGTGACCTTTGTCACCATTGTCACTGTTGTCACTTTTCTCACCGTTGTCACTGTTATCACTGTTGTCACCGTTGTCACTGTTGTAACCTTTGTCACCATTGTCACTGTTGTCATTGTTGTTACTATTGTCACCGTTTTTACTGCTGTCACTGTTGTCACTATTGTCACTTTTGTCACCGGTGTCATTGTTGTCACTGTTGTCACAGTTGTCACCCTTGTCACAATTGTCACTGTTGTAACTGTTATCACTGCTCTCCCTTTTGTCACTGTTGTCAATGTTGTCACTGTTGTAACTATTGTCGTTGTCACAGTTCTCACTGTTGTCACCGTTGTCACCATTGTCACTGTTATCATTGTTGTCACCGTTGTCACTGTTGTCATCGTTGTCACTGTTTTCACCGTTGTCACTGTTATCATTGTTGTCACCGTTATCACAGTTGTCACTTTTGTCACCGTTGTCACTGTTGTCACCGTTGTCATTGTTATCACTGATGTCACGGTTGTCTCCGCTGTCATTCTTGTCACAGTTGTCACTGTTGTCACCGTTGTCACTGTTGTCATTGTTGTCACTGTTGTGATTGTTGCCACTGTTTTCACAGTTGTCACCGTTGTCACAGTTGTCACTGTTTTAACCATTGTCATTGTTATCACTGTTGTCACGGTTGTCTCTGTTGTCATTCTTGTCACAGTTGTCACTGTTGTCACCGTTGTCACTGTTGTCATTGTTGTCACTGTTGTCATTGTTGTCACAGTTGTCACTGTTGTAAATGTTGTCACTGTTGTCACCGTTGTCACCATTGTCACTGTTGTCACCCTTGTCACTGTTGTCACTGTTGTCACCCTTGTCACTGTTGTCACTCTTGTCGCCGTTGTCACTGTGGTCACTGTTGTCACCATTGTCACTGTTGTCACTGTTGTCACCGTTGTCACCAATGTCACCGTTGTCACTCTTGCCATCGTTGTCACTGTTGTCACTATTATCACCGTTGTCACTGTTGTCACTGTTGTTACTGTTCTCATTGTTTTTACCGTTTTCACTGTTGTCACTGTTGTCACTGTTATTATTGTTGTCACCGTTGTCACAGTTGTCACCTTTGTCACCGTTGTCACTGTTGTCACTGTTTTTACTGTTGTCACCGTTGTCACTGCTGTCACTTTTGTCACCGTTGTCACTGTTGTCACCGGTGTCATTCTTGTCACTGTTGTCACAGTTGTCACCGTTGTCACAGTTGTCACTGTTTTCACCGTTGTCACTTTTATCACCGTTGTCACCGTTGTCTCTGTTGTCATTCTTGTCACAGTTGTCACTGTTGTCACTGTTGTCATTGTTGTCACTGTTGTCATTGTTGTCACCATTGTCACTATTGTCACCCTTGTCACTGGTGTCACTGTTGTCACCATTGTCACTGTGGTCACCGTTGTCATTATTTTCACTCTTGTCACTGTTGTCACCGTTGTCACCAATGTCACCGTTGTCACTCTTGCCACCGTTCTCACCGTTGGCACTGTTCTCACTATTATCACCATTGTCACCGTTTTCACCGTTGTCACTGTTGTCACTGTTCTCATTGTTTTCACAGCTGTTACTGTTGTCCCCGTTGTAACTGTTGTCACCATTGTCACCGTTATCACCCTTGTCACTGTCATCATTGTTGTGATTATTGTCACCTTTGACACTATTGCCACCTTTGTCACTTGTGTCATTGTTTTCACTGTTGTCAATATTGTCATTGTTGTCACCGTTGTCAACGTTGTCACTATTGTCACCGTTCTCACTGTTGTCATCGTTGTCACCGTATTCACTGTTGTCACTGTTGTCACCGTTTCCACCTTTTTTACCGTTGTCACTGTTGTCACCATTGTCACAATTGTCACTGTTGTCACTGTTGTCACTGCTCTCCCTGTTGTCACTGTTTTCAATGTTGTCACCGTTGTCACTGTTGTTATTGTTGTCACAGTTGTCACAGTTGTCACTGTTGTCACCGTTGTCACCATTGTCACTGTTATCATTGTTGTCACCGTTGTCACTGTTGTCACAGTTTTCACCTTTCTCACCGTTGTCACTGTTGTCACCGTTTTTACTGTTGTCACCGTTGTCACTGCTTTCAATTTTGTCACCGTTGTCACTGTTGTCACCGGTGTCATTGTTGTCATAGTTGTCACCGTTGTCACAGTTGTCACTATTTTAACCATTGTCATTGTTATCACTGTTGTCACAGTTGTCTCTGTTGTCATTCTTGTCACAGTTGTCACTGTTGTTACCGTTATCACTGTTGTCATTGTTGTCATTGTTGTCACAGTTGTCACTGTTGTAAATGTTGTAACTGTTGTCATCGTTGTCACCATTGTCACTGTTCTCACCCTTGTCACTGTTGCCACCGTTGTCACTGTTGTCACCGTTGTCACCAATGTCACCGTTGTCACTCTTGCCATCGTTTTCACCGTTGTCACTGTTGTCACTATTATCACTGTTGTCACCGTTGTCACTGTTGTCACTGTTCTCATTGTTTTCACAGTTGACACTGTTGTCACCGTTGTCACCCTTGTCACTGTCGTCATTGTTGTCACAGTTGTCACTGTTGTAAATGTTGTCACTGTTGTCACCGTTGTCATCATTGTCACTGTTCTCATTGTTGTCACAGGTTACTCTGTTGTCACCGTTGTCACTGTGGTCACCGTTTCCACTTTTTTCACCGTTCTCACTGTTGTCACCGTTGTCACAATTGTCACTGTTGTCACTGCTCTCCCTGTTGTCACCGTTCTGACTGTTGTCATTGTTCTCACAGTTGTCACATTTGTCACTTTTGTGACCATTGTCACTGTTCTCACCATTGTCACCATTTTCACTTTTATCATTTTTGTCACCATTGTCACTGTTGTCACCGTTGTCACTGTTATCATTGTTATCACCGTTGTCACAGTTGTCACCGTTGTCACTGTTTTCACCGTTGTTACTGTTGTCACCGTTGTCGCTGCTGTAACCGTTGTCACTGTTCTCACCGGTGTCATTGTTGTCACTGTTGTCATAGTTGTCACCGTTGTCAGTGTTGTCACTGTTTTCACCGTTGTCACTGTTATCACCGTTTTCTCTAATGTCATTCTTGTCACTGTTGTCACCGTTCTTACTGTTGTCGTTGTTGTCACTGTTGTTATTGTTGTTATAGTTGTCACTGTTGTAAATGTTCTCACTGTTGTCACCGTTGTCACCATTGTCACTGTTGTCATCCTTGTCACTGTTGTCACCGTTGTCACTGTTGTTATCGTTGTCACCATTGTCACTGTTGTCACTGTTTTCACTGTTGTCACCGTTGTCACTGTTTTTACCGTTGTCACCGATGTCTTCGTCGTCACTCTTGCCACCGTTGTCACCGTTGTCACTGTTGTCACTGTTGTCACCGTTGTCACCGTTGTCACTCTTGTCACTGTTTTCATTGTTGTCACAGTTGTCACTGTTGTCACTCTTGTCACCGTTGTCAGCCTTGTCACTGTTGTCACAGTTGTAAATGTTGTCACCGTTGTCACCATTGTCAGTGTTGTCACTGTTGTAACCGTTTTCACTCTTGTCACTGTTGTCACCCTTGTCACCGTTGTCACTGTTGTCACCGTTGTCACAGTTGTCACTGTTGTCACTGTTTTGACCGTTGTCGCCGTTGTTACTGTTGTCACGGTTGTCACCGTTTTCACTGTTGTCATTGTTGTCACAGTTGTCACTGTTGTCACCATTGTCACTGTTGCCACCGTTGTCACTTTGTCACTGTTGTCATATTTGTTACAGATGTCACTGTTGTAAATGTTGTCACCGTTGTCACCATTGTCACTGTTGTCACGGTTGTCACTGTTGTCACTGCTGTCACTGTTGTCACTGTTTTCACTGCTGTCAATGTTTTCACAATTGTCACTGTTGTCATTGTTGTCACCGTTGTCACCGTTGTCACTGTTGTCACTGTTGTCACCATTGTCATGGTTGTCACCGTATTCACTGTTGTCACCGTTTCCACTGTTTTTACCGTTGTCACTGTTGTCACCATTGTCACAATTGTCACTGTTGTCACTGCTCTCCCTGTTGTCACCGTTGTCACTGTTGTTTTTGTTGTCACAGTTGTCACAGTTGTCACTGTTGTCACCGTTGTCACCATTGTCACTGTTATCATTGTTGTCACCGTTCTCACTGTTGTCACAGTTGTCACCTTTCTCACCGTTGTCACTGTTGTCACCGTTTTTACTGTTCTCACCGTTGTCACTGCTGTCATTTTTGTCACCGTTGTCACTGTTGTCACCGGTGTCATTGTTGTCACTGTTGTCATAGTTGTCACCGTTGTCACAGTTGTCACTGTTTTCACCGTTGTCATTGTTATCACTGTTGTCACAGTTCTCTCTGTTCTCATTCTTGTCACAGTTGTCACTGTTGTCACCGTTGTCACTGTTGTCATTGTTGTCATTGTTGTCACAGTTGTCACTGTTGTAAATGTTGTCACTGTTGTCATCGTTGTCATTATTGTCACTGTTGTCACCCTTGTCGCCGTTGTCAGTGTTGTCGCCGTTCTCACTGTTGTCGCCGTTGTCATTGTTGTCACCGTTGTCACCAATGTCACCGTTGTCACTCTTGCCATCGTTTTCACCGTTGTCACTGTTGTCACTATTATCACCGTTGTCACCGTTGTCACTGTTGTCACTGTTGTCACTGTTCTCATTGTTTTCACAGTTGTCACTGTTGTCACCGTTGTCACCCTTGTCACTGTCGTCATTGTTGTCACAGTTTTCACTGTTGTCACTGTTGTCACCGTTGTCATCATTGTCACTGTTCTTATTGTTGTCACAGGTTACTCTGTTGTCACCGTTGTCACTGTTGTCACCGTTGTCACTGTGGTCACCGTTTCCACTTTTTTCACCGTTGTCACTGTTGTCACCGTTGTCACAATTGTCACTGTTGTCACTGCTCTCCCTGTTGTCACCGTTCTGACTGTTGTCATTCTTCTCACAGTTGTCACTTTTGTCACCATTGTCACTGTTCTCACCATTGTCACCATTTTCACTGTTATCATTTTTGTCACCGTTGTCACTGTTGTCACCGTTGTCACTGTTATCATTGTTATCACCGTTGTCACCGTTGTCACTGTTGTCACCGTTGTTACTGTTGTCACCGTTGTCGCTGCTGTCACCGTTGTCACTGTTGTCATCGGTGTCATTGTTGTCACTGTTGTCACAGTTGTCACCGTTGTCACTGTTGTCACTGTTTTCACCGTTGTCACTGTTATCACCGTTTTCTCTAATCTCATTCTTGTCACTGTTCTCACCGTTCTTACTGTTGTCGTTGTCACTGTTGTTATTGTTGTTATAGTTGTCACTGTTGTAAATGTTCTCACTGTTGTCACCGTTGTCACCATTGTCACTGTTGTCATCCTTGTCACTGTTGTCACCGTTGTCACTGTCGTCATCGTTGTCATCTTTGTCACTGTTGTCACTGTTTTCACCGTTGTCACCGTTGTCACTGTTTTTACCGTTGTCACCGATGTCTTCGTTGTCACTCTTGCCACCGTTGTCACCATTGTCACTGTTGTCACTGTTGTCACCGTTGTCACCGTTGTCACTGTTGTCCCTTTTTTCATTGTTGTCACAGTTGTCACTGTTTTCACCCTTGTCACCGTTGTCACCCTTGTCACTGTTGTCACAGTTGTAAATGTTGTCACCGTTTTCACCATTGTCACTGTTGTCACCCTTGTCACTGTTGTCACTGTTTTAACCGTTTTCACTCTTGTCACTGTTGTCACCCTTGTCACTGTTGTCACTGTTGTCACCGTTCTTACTGTTGTCACCGTTGTCACCGTTGTCACTGTTGTCACTGTTTTGACCGTTGTCGCCGTTGTTACTGTTGTCACGGTTGTCACCGTTTTCACTGTTGTCATTGTTGTCACAGTTGTCACTGTTGTCACCATTGTCACTGTTGCCACCGTTGTCACTGTGTCCCTGTTGTCATATTTGTTACAGATGTCACTGTTGTAAATGTTGTCACCGTTGTCACCATTGTCACTGTTGTCACGGTTGTCACTGTTGTCACTGCTGTCACTGTTGTCACTGTTGTCACTGTTGTCACTGTTGTCACTGCTGTCAATGTTGTCACATTTGTCACTGTTGTCATTGTTGTCACCGTTGTCACTGTTGTCACTGTTGTCACTGTTGTCACCATTCTCACTGTTGTCACCGTTGTCATTGTTGTCACAGTTGTTATTGTTGTCACCATTTTCACCTTCATCACCATTGTCACTGTGTCACTGTTGTCATATTTGTGACAGGTGTCACTGTTGTAAATGTTGTCACTGTTTTCACTGTCGTCACCGTTGTCACCATTGTCACTGTTGTCACCCTTGTCACTGTTGTCGCGGTTGTCACTGTTGGCACCGTTGTCACTCCTGTCACTGTTGTCACTGTTGTCACTGCTGTCAATGTTGTCACAATTGTCACTGTTGTCATTGTTGTCACCATTGTCACTGTTGTAAATGTTGTCACCGTTGTCACTGTTGTCACGGTTGTCACCGTTGTCGTTGTTGTCCCTGTTGTCACTGTGGTCATATTTGTCACTGTTGTCACCGTTGTCGACCTTGTCACTGTTGTCACGGTTTTCATTGTTGTCAGTCTTTTGACCCTCTTCACCATTGTCACCATTGTCACGGTTGTCACCGTTGTCATTGTTGTCACTGTTGTCATGGTTTTCACTGTTGTTACTGTTGTCACCGTTGTCACTGCTGTCACTGTTGTCACCGTTGTCACTGTTGTCACCGGTGTCATTGTTGTCACTGTTGTCACAGTTGTCACCGTTGTCACAATTGCCACTGTTGTAACTGTTATCACTGCTCTCCCTGTTGTCACTGTTGTCAATATTGTCACCGTTGTAACTATTGTCATTGTTGTCACAGTTGTCACTGTTGTCACCGTTCTCACCATTGTTACTGTTTTCATTGTTGTCACCGTTGTCACTGTTGTCATCGTTGTCACTGTTGTCACCGTTGTCACTGTTATCATTGTTGTTACCGTTGTCACCGTTGTCACCTTTGACACCGTTGTCACTGTTGTCACCGTTGTCATTGTTATCACTGTTGTCACGGTTGTCTCTGCTGTCATTCTTGTCACAGTTGTCACTGTTGTCATTGTTGTCACTGTTGTCATTGTTGTCACTGTTGTCACAGTTGTCACCGTTGTCACAGTTGTCACTGTTTTCACCATTGTCATTGTTATCTCTGTTGTCACGGTTGTGTCTTTTGTCATTCTTGTCACAGTTGTAACTGCTGTCACCGTTGTCACTGTTGTCATTGTTGTCACTGTTGTCATTGTTGTCACAGTTGTCACTGTTGTAAATGTTGTCACCATTGTCACTGTTGTCACCCTTGTCACTGTTGTCACTCTTGTCGCCGTTGTCACTGTGGTCACTGTTGTCACCATTGTCACTGTTGTCACTGTTGTCACCGTTTTCACCAATGTCACCGTTGTCACTCTTGCCATCGTTGTAACCGTTGTCACTGTTGTCACTATTATCACCGTTGTCACCGTTGTCACTGTTGTCACTGTTGTTACTGTTCTCATTGTTTTTACCGTTTTCACTGTTGTCACCGTTGTCACTGTTATCATTGTTGTCACCGTTGTCACAGTTGTCACCTTTTTCACCGTTGTCACTGTTATGACTGTTTTTACTGTTGTCACCGTTGTCACTGCTGTCACTTTTGTCACCGTTGTCACTGTTGTCACCGGTGTCATTCTTGTCACCGTTGTCTCTGTTGTCATTGTTGTCACTGTTGTCATTGTTGTCACCATTGTCACTGTTGTCACCTTTGTCACTGTTGTCACCATTGTCACTGTGGTCACCGTTGTCACTATTTTCACTGTTGTCACTGTTGTCACCGTTGTCACCAATGTCACCGTTGTCACTCTTGCCACCGTTGTCACCGTTGTCACTGTTCTCACTATTATCACCGTTGTCACCGTTATTACCGTTGTCACTGTTCTCATTGTTTTCACAGGTGTCACTGTTGTCACCGTTGTCACTGTTGTCATCGTTGTCACCGTTATCACCCTTGTCACTGTCATCATTGTTGTGACCATTGTCACCTTTGACACTATTGCCACCGTTGTCACTTGTGTCATTGTTGTCACTGTTGTCAATATTGTCATCGTTGTCACCGTTGTCACTGTTGTCACCGTTGTCAACGTTGTCACTATTGTCACCGTTGTCACTGTTGTAATCGTTGTCACTGTATTCACTGTTGTCACTGTTGTCACCGTTTCCACTTTTTTTACCGTTGTCACTTTTGTCACCAGTGTCACAATTGTCACTGTTGTCACTGTTGTCACTGCTCTCCCTGTTGTCACTGTTTTCAATGTTGTCACCGTTGTCACTGTTGTTATTGTTGTCACAGTTGTCACTGTTGTCACCGTTGTCACCATTGTCACTGTTATCATTGTTGTCACCGTTGTCACTGTTGTCACAGTTGTCACTTTTGTCACCGTTGTTACTGTTGTCACCGTTTTTACTGTTGTCACCGTTGTCACTGCTGTCACTTTTGTCACCGTTGTCACTGTTGTCACCGGTGTCATTGTTGTCACTTTTGTCACAGCTGTCACCGTTGTGAGAGTTGTCACTGTTTTCACCGTTGTCATTGTTATCACTGTTCTCACAGTTGTCTCTGTTGTCTTTCTTGTCACAGTTGTCACTGTTGTCACCGTTGTCACTGTTGTCATTGTTGTCACTGTTGTCATTGTTGTCACAGTTGTCACTGTTGTAAATGTTGTCACTGTTTTCATCGTTGTCACCATTGTCACTGTTTTACCCTTGTCACTGTTGTCACTGTTGTCGCCGTTGTCACTGTTGTCACTGTTGTCACCGTTGTCACCAATGTCACCGTTGTCACTCTTGCCATCGTTGTCACCATTGTCACTGTTGTCACTATTATCACCGTTGTCACCGTTGTCACTGTTGTCACTGTTGTCACTTTTCTCATTGTTTTCACAGTTGTTACTGTATTCACCGTTGTCACCCTTGTCACTGTCGTCATTGTTGTCACAGTTGTCACTGTTGTAAATGTTGTCACTGTTGTCACCGTTGTCATTATTGTCACTGTTCTCATTGTTGTCACAGGTTACTCTGTTGTCACCGTTGTCACTGTTGTCACCGTTGTCACTGCGGTCACCGTTTCCACTTTTTTCACCGTTGTCACTGTTGTCACCGTTGTCACAATTGTCACTGTTGTCACTGCTCTCCCTG